ATTTCTAAATTCGTATTGATTTGATAAAATGATGCAAGAACCTATGATGATTCGATTCTCAAGTAACTACGTAAGCACGTATATGATAAATTTTTATAATAAATATATACCGTATATAATTTTGATGATCGCTGTAGGTTTCATTATTTGTTCCGAAAAAAAGAACAACTCTCACTCATTTTCACTTTTTCCCGATCTTCTAATTAGGAGTTAGTAACCATTTGTTTATATTCTTACTATATAGTATTCATATAACCGTCCTATGCTAACCATTGATCTCTATCGATTTTTTTTAAGGTCGAACTCCTTAGAAATCAAAAATTAACAACCAAGCGTCCAAGTGACACGGTTTCTCGCTTTTTTTCTTTTGTTTTTTTTTTAAAGAAAAAAAACAAAAACAAACCAACCCAAAAAAATAGGACGATGAGTTTTCTCTCGGCAACACTTATACTCGCTGCCGCCGCATTTGTCCTCTTTTCAGTCGTAAGCGAAACACCAAAACCTCCATTTTCTGTGGTACCTCCTAAGTGCAATTGTTCCCAAGACGAAGATACTGATTCGGATATATCGGATGATTATTCAGACTTGGGCGATATCGATTATTACTTTAAGGACTATGATTGGAGTTATGAAAGTACTGATGTTCATGAATCGAAATAACATCTATGCGTATTAAAGAAATGTACGTTGATCTTTTTGTGAGATAAACGTTTTTACATTTATTCTTGAACACTGGTGACTTTCTTAAATATAAAGAGTGAAGTTTAGGGATTTATCGTGGATTTAAACATTGCTTTACTCTAAAGGTGAAAGATTTTCTTACAAAATCTTATGTTTAGTATCTTCTTTTTTTTTTAGTATTTCAAAAATTCTAACGGCTGTTACCGCAAAGTTCAAATTGTGAATTTGGAGGGGCTTTAAAATTTCATCTTGTTAATTTGATGAGAAATTCGATACAGTAATTTGATTGTATTCTGATTGTTCTTATATTGAAATTATTTACACTACAGTATGGTATAAATAAAGGGATCAACCCTTACCTTGTTTTCTTAAATTGTTTTATATGAACTTATTTCAAGTTTGAGTAGGTGCTTTTTATTCTGTTTTACATGCGTACAATATTCCTCGACTTGCTTAATTGTATTCGTTTCATCTCTTTTCGTCTTTTCACTTGCTACTGCAATATGCTTAATGTTAAATTATTCTAATTTGTTGAGTTCTAACAAATTTCTCGAAATTTTTTAGACATTGATCTCAAAGACAATTTACCTATCAATTTAAATGTTCTTTCCAATTTTATTACCTTTTCTTAAATATTTTCGAATTTCCATTCACGATTCACGAATAATATGTTTTATCTAGTGGATATGGTCTTGGGTACATTGGTTTCAATATTCATAATCTTTGGATACTCCAGTTATTCATATGATGATTATCAATATTTACGAAATCGTTTTTTATGATTCCTTTATTGAAGATGATGAAAATATATGCTTGAATGATTTAGATGAATTAGATGAATTAGATGAACTAGATACGTATGAACTAGATGAACAAGTTGATGGTGATCATTAGGTAAAAACATTTAATAATCTCCTTTATTGTTCAAGGAAATGTTAATTATTAACCAACATAAATATATAATACTTCCAGTATCTAGGGATGTTAATCGGTTCCGCAATAATTGTAAGTCGAATTTGAGAAAGATTTGTAAAAAAAAAATTGGCATTTTTAACCGGTATTCGTCCAATAAATAAAGTCAATGAAAAATAATTTTTTTGCGGCATTTCCTACAA